GCGTGATAGTTGTGTATAGATCTATATTGGGTCTGACAAACCCACACCTGAGCTGCATGCAACAGCTAGACCGGCAGGTCTGGGGTGACAAGTGTCATTTAACTTTGCGACGTCTGAAGAACGTCGTATTACAAGGCCGTCTCAGTCATAGTATGGTTATAATAACTCACATGAGGTATTAACAAAACATAAGATTTATGGGTTTTTACTTCCAATTAAACGAGTTTATGTTGATTTAAACTTGCATAAATTATTTAAGTATGGTAATATACTTGTACATTTCGGTCTTGACTTTTAAGACTACATAACTTTTTATAAGGAAAAATATTGGATTTTCTTTGGAAACGCATTACTATTGTAAACTTTATAAGTACAAAACACACACACATATTCTCGGTCTTGGGATTTAAGGCTACATAACTTTTTATAAGGTAAATAAGGGATTTTTCTTGAAGTATACATGACAAAGTACCAAGTTTACACTAAATGGCTTTCATGATATTAAAACTACGTTTCATCTAGAATTGCTAGACTTCAGCTATAATTTGCTAAGTGTACATGTCAGAGTTATATAAGAATTTAGTCGCAAACGAGTTAGAATTGGTGGGCCCGCCTTACTTCCTGTTCCTTGTTTGGTTGTGGACCTAGGGCAAACCCATTATATTCGACGGTTTATTTAACTTAAATTTTACATAACTTATATACACTAGCTGATTATAGGAGGAATCTACAAGTCTTTCTAGGGTACATTATTGCATAACATAGGAGCGTTCATTTCACACTTAATAAAGAAAATATTGGATTTTCTGGAATCATACTCCATCGCTTTTACAAGAGAAAACGACTTCTTTCTCAAATAAAACTCTTATGAACTCACCAACTTAATTGTTGACACTCTTTCAAAACTACTTGTATTCTCAGGAAACCAGTGAAACAGGAAATCAACAGCTTTTGAGGATGGGACGTTAAACCGTCAAACATTTCATTTTGTCATCATAGTGTAATTGATTTGAAACATGTAAACACATACTATGGTGTAACTTTTTCAATTATATTTATGATAGTTGTATTTACTTTGAGCACTATTATACTCGTTGTTGTGATACTATACATGAAGTCCTCCACCCCCGGACGTTTCCGCCATCCTTGGTTTGGGGGTGTGACACCATTCGAAATTGATAACAATTTTCCCAAAATACCCTTTGTCAAAACCGATCAAAATCAACCAAGTCACCCAGCCGAGTTAACTCAAGCCACGTACGCGGGGCGTACTTTGGATGTACGTGGGACGTACTCATGGGCCAAGGCATCTGGGCTCAAACTGCGTACGCACAACGTACCGTTTGGTACGCCCAACGTACCGTTTGGTATTGCATGGCCAATAAGTTTTAAATGCTAACAAAACCATCCTCTTAACCCGTTAAGACAAACAAACGCATTCATGGAGAAGGTTTAAGAGCCAAGACCCTATTTTTATGCTTCCAAACCACAGAAAACATCTAAAAGAACAGCTAGAATGGACTAGAGCATGGCATACTCCGAAAAGATCAAGACTTGGGACAAAATGCTTATGAAACAAGAAATTAGCAAGATCTAATGAAATATAATCCAAGTTTGAAACTTTATACCTCTTGGAGGTTGCTATAGAGATGAAGATCCCAGATCCAAAACTTCTTCAAGCTTCCAAGGTGGTTCTACTTCCTTCTTTCTCCTTCACGACCACCAAAACACATATAAGGGTCAAGAATGCACAAGAAGGTGGCTAGGATTTGCTAAAATCGTATGAAGATGTTGGAGGCTGATGAGAGATGAGGTTGGAGGCCATAATGATGCTTAAATAGGGTCCAAACCCTAAACTTTAACAACATCCAAGAATTGTTTAAAAACATTGTAAGCATCAAATTTGTATACCAAGGAAATATCCACATATAACGAGAGAAGTCATTACACAAATTAAGAAATAGTTATAAACATCAGATGAAGTAATGGGTGTCGGGCCCCCAAACATCACAAAATAATAAATCCAAAATATGAGTACTTTTAAAATTGGAAGATGACAAATGAAGTTTCGATGATTTCCGTATGTGACAGGAATTACAAAAGGAACTCGAAATTTTATTGAAAATAGGAAGACTATATTTAGATAAAATGGTTTGCAGAAGTTGTGGATGTGGATGCCCAAGTCTTTAATACCATATGTCGGAAGAAGCACGAAAACTTGTGAAGGCAACTTTAGGAACTTGTTGAAACTGAAGAAGACGAATGGAATATAGAACGTTGTCACTAGGACCCGTGAGGAGGGTAATACGTGTAGACTTGTCCTTCACAACAATGAAGGTGTAAAGAAACTCAAAGAAAACATGATTATCTTGACAAAGTTTTTGGAGTGAACGTAGATTTTGTTTGATTTGAGGAACATGAAGTATATTAGAAAGAGAGAAGGTTTTGGATGGTAAAAGATAACGATTGGAGCCAATATGAAGTATGGGTTACTAACATGAAGAGCATCCTCACTGTAGTATGGCTCATGATTGTCGAGGTTGGAGATGTCATGGGCAACAACGTGGCTGTTGGACCTGGTGTCAGGGATCCATGGACTTGTTGGTTGTGAACGATAGTTAGCAAAGTTTGTTAAATGTTGTTGTTGTCTCAAATTTATGGTAGAAGGGTCATGGTTAGGACATTGAGATAATACATGTCCAATACCACATCTTTTGCATGTACAGTTAACAATATTTTGATTGGATGCCTAACTTAACTGGTTTTTTTTTTCTGATTATGGAAGGAGCCCCGTCCATGATGATTGTGCAAGCCACGTCCATGAGAGTTGTGAGAACGAGAGGCAAAGAAAGCTTGTGAAGGTGGTTGATTTAATGGTTGTAGTTCAAGACCAAGCTGAGAAACAAGTTATTGAAGAGCTTGCATTGTGTCAAGTTGTGAACCGGTGGTTACAGATAAGGGACAACTAGTGGTGATAGCAGCAAAGGCTTGAGCTGGTGAAACAGCAGGTGCAAATTTCTTCACCATATAATCGTGATAAGATAGGAGACCATGGAGTTCAGTGGAGGCTGTTGGAGTCTACCAAGCAAGGAGTGTAGATTTCATTCCATTGTATTCTTCACGAAGACCGAATAATAACAGCATTGTCTTTTTCTTTGACTGGTTCACGAGTGTTGGAGAGAGCATCAACATATTTAGCCCAGGTAAGGTATGTTGATGCAGTCTCGTCTCCCTTCATCTCAATTTTGAGTAACTATGTCTTAAGGGTGTATTTCCTAAAAGACGTGTGAGGTGCATAGGCACGTTCGAGAGAGAACTAAAGATCTATGGATGTGATGCCTTATACATGTTGAAAAAACGCTTCTAAAACTGTGAAGAGGACTAGCATCCTTACGTGAGCATCATTAAACACCCAAATAGGGTAGTTTAGATTCGATTGAGGTTTGTTGGGTGCGTATTTGTCAAATGATTGGGTTGGTGGATCGATAGTTTGTGATGGACATAAGATGGTGCCATCAACATAACCAATAATCTATTATTGGTGATGAGAAACAACTTGATCATAGTCTTCCAAAAACCATAATTGGTTTGGGGTGGGGGGGGGATAAAGTAAAAGCAAACTTATGAGAGTTATGAGATGTTTTCTTAATTGTGAAGAAGGCAGTGATCATGGCTATTGTGAAGCCAAAGCTAATCGTAAAAAGGAAAAAAAAAAAAAAAAAAAATGCAACGGCAGAGTTTTTAAGGTTAGCGGTGGTCACTCTGATACCATATTGAACTTGGTAATAGAATTGTAATTATGATCAAGTATGTATTTATAAGATATATTGCAAGAATATATATAAAATACATATTTACAAATTGTATCATCCTAATATATAAAAATAAAAACTGTCTAATAGTATATATACGTTAAAGAGAATTACAAACTTGGTCCTTATAGTTATATGTTTTTTTTAAAGCTTATTTTGTTTAATTGTAGATTGGTCATCCCTAAAACATTTTCTTATCATCTATTTGGTCCATGAGATAAACATTGTTTGAACTACTCTTGCGTCTGTTGCATTTCATACAAAAAATTTCATTATAACCTTATCATGTCATTTGAATTCAAAATGAAATTTCCTACTACTAATCAACCATGATATTAGACCTTTAATTACATTAAAACTTAACAAATAAAATAATTTATCTCCAATAGTTTTTATATTAAATTCGATTAACTTTGTAACCATGATTCTCATAGGTTATAACCCATTAAATATATAAATAGTGCAAAATGGTATTTTTAAAACACAAAATTAAACTTAGATCCATATAAATGTTGTTCGTAGCAACTTAGAGCAAGCCTATATTGCATTTCAACCCCGAAAATGAAATAGGCTACATTTTTCTTTCTATTTATATTCATATCCATATGAGTGATATTAATTATATTTTAATACATTTGTTATAATTTTAAATGGGTAGGAAAAAAAGTAGGAAGAAAAATAAAAGGCTATTTAATTTCTCTAACTTTTATGGTATTTTTTTAGTTGGATTATGTTTTTTAAATACTGAAAGTTGGTTATTTTTTTATATAACTTTTTTATAAAAACACAATTTTTTGGGTTGTTTCTTTAAAAATTACATCAAATTATTTTAATCGGTATCCCTTTTGGCCTTGTATAATCTCATTTCACGTTCTTAATTAGGGCTTGATTTGCTCAGGGGGGTGATTGCGTTTCGATCTGTCAGGTATTCTGAAAAAACTAGATCTACATTTACCAATCGATCCGAATAAAAACTCGAACTGAAAACTGTTTGCTGAGTTTGATTAGTTTTACCATTATACATTTATCGAATTAGACATTGATGTAACGTTAGAACTCGATTTTAGGGTTTATATAATCGAAATGGAAGTCGCAGCTCAATTCAACCTTTGTTCAATTCTATGCTCCCAATTACACTATCTTCATCTTTTTACGATCTTGGATTGAATATCCTTCTTCCTTAAAAACCCTAACACACTTTCGTATTTTGTGATACAGAATTAGTTATTCTGATTTTCTACTTAAAGATTTGAACTTTCAACATCAATCATTATGCATATACCATGGGAAATAGAACACACTTATTCCTATAGAATCATTAAATCCGTTTGTGTGCTTTCTCTAATTTACAATCCCTACAGAGATCAATGGAATCTCAGCAAAAATCTCCTTAAATCCAACTAATTTCCAGCAGCATACGCATCACCTGAAGTTTGATTTCTTACTTCTCCTTTAAACATTCAAAGACGTGAAGCAATTATGTCAGTTTTTGATCAAAATCACCATCAACGACCTCAAAGAACTCATCTAAGAATTATTTCTGTAAATTGATGTCATAAAATGCTTTCATCTGGAAACACTGCACCTCGCACAACAACAATTATGCCTGATGTAATGATGTATCCATCAGTTTCATTGTTCCCTTCTAGCACATTATCCCTGTTTATGATCTACATAACAACAAAAGCATCCATTATAATGTTTCAAAAACAGATTATTCGTATTTGTACCTTTAGCTAACAATACCTTAACATTTTTCCCAATCTTTGCGTTCTTATCTATTATAGCTCTCTTTATGAAAGATCCTTCCCCAACACCAATTGGAATACTCGCATGCTTTCCATCTCCTCCACCATTTCTCTGTTCAGGTATGCTCTGTTCACATCAGAAAGAAAAAACTAATTGATAACATAAAAATGTCATTTAATTGATAAAATAAACTCAATCATAAATTCATAATTACCTGATAGATATCAGATCCCATGATTACTGAATCTTCTATTACAGCTCCATCTCCAACTCTTGTTCTTGGACCAATTACTGTATTTCTGATGCTGCATCTCTACTTTTTTTTAAAGAAAAATTGCATAAATAATAAGAAAAATTGTACACACACACAAAAACACACACAAAATTGAGTGAAAGTTTCGTACATTGAGAATGCAACCATCACCAATGACACTATCTGTAATGGCAGCATTGGTTACTAGAGATGGAGGCAGATGACGTGGCAGAGTGTACACTGGAAAATCTCTATCATAGAAGCTGCTACCAACACGTGAATTATGTAATTAGTTTTTGTTTTTTCTTTTTTACATTTTTTTTTCATATTTCAGAGGTATGTTAGTTGTTACTATACTACGCACTTATATTTCATGTTTTTTTTCTTTGTGCTTTCCATATTCGCTTCATAATATGCTTCAATGCTTCTCATGTCCTCCCAATATCCATCAAATCGATAAGCATGAACCTATCAATTATCATTACATGATCAAACATAATTAATAATTAATGATTAAACTTTCTATTTTTATTTGTTTGAAATTTGAATTTTTTTTAAAAAAAACTAACCTTCAACCCTAGGGATATTGCACCTGGTATTACTTCATTCTTTAAATTATTTGCTTTAGGGAAAGATTCTTTCAAGAGCTTTATCATAACATGTCTGTTCATGACATAAATCCCCATACCCGAAAACATTTCACCATTAAAATTTGAGCCATTAACCTGAAAAAAAAATGTATTTAAGACTTGAACAAAGTAAATTATTTTTAAAAATTATTTCACTTAACTGGTAATGGCATAAACAATTCTTGTTCCTCTTTGAACCCAATAACTCGATTATTATTATTATTATTAACATCAATTTTAAAACTTCCAAAACCCGTGTTCTCTTCTTTCATGTTATCCAAAACTGCAACTGTTATATCCGCCTTATTGTTTCTATGTTCTTCTAGAAGCTTCTGATAATCCATTTTGTAAAGATGATGACCTGGCAAGACCAAAAATTCAAGCGCCGGATGTTTTTCTAATACCCATAAACATCTTCTCATAGCATCTGCAGTTCCCTACATAAAATAATCCCAAATCGCTAAAATTGTAAAGAAAAAAAAGATGAAACAATTTTAGTGGCTAAAAATTGATTGAATAAGAAAACCTGAAACCAGCCATTATCTTCGGGACTTTGATAAGCTGCAATAACTTCAAGAAATTCTTGATTTGCTAATAATCCACCAGAATAAGCTCTCAAAAGATGCGAATTTAAGGAAGTGGAATTAAACTGTGTGAGTGCGTATATCTTTGTGATATTACTATTGATGCAATTGCTTATAACTGCATCGATAAGCCTATAACTTCCTGCAATTGGAATTGCTCCTTCTGATCTTCTCTTGGTCAACGGATACAATCTTGACCGTTGATGTTCTGATGCCTCCCCAAACACCACCGCTGCAACACTCTGAAATATTCACCATTTTATTTTATTTTATGTTTTAGAAACTAAATCGTAATAAAAAAAAAAAAATTTACAGAAACTCCGTTATGTTTTAGATAGTTTTACCATGGTTTACACACTAATATTTTATTTTTATCTTGAGTAAATTACACGAATAGTCCCTATGCTTTGGGATAATTTACACATTTAATCCCTAACTTATATTTTTAACTCGTAAGGTCCATACTATTTGTTTTTGTTGTTTAAAAAGACCATTTTTTCCTTGATTTTTTAATTTATTTAAATAAACTCACCCCAACCCTACTTTCACATCACCTTACCTTACCTTACCTACCCCACCTTATTTAAATAAATTAAAAAAATCAATGACAAAATAGTCTTTTTAGGTAAGACAGGAACCAAGCGCGCAACAAAAACAAATTGTAGGGACCTTCCGAATTAAAAAAAAATAAGTTATGACCAAACGTACAAATTACCCCAAACCAAAGGAACCATTCATATAATTTACTCTTTTATTTTTGACGGAATCATGAAAATTTCAAGGAATTTTTCCAAGTTAACCGTTTTGAAATGATATTTGTTGTAACAGATTTCATTAGAAAATTTTGAAATGAACTATTTTGACATGTTATATAGGGTTAAAATGGTTAATTTGTAAAAATGTTTGAAAGTTTTGTGGTTGATTAGAAGAAATATAATATAAATGGTTAATCTTGATCCTTTTGTTTTGTATTTTAGAAAATGTATCATAATAATCAAAAGGGCAAATTATTGAAAGAAAAGAATTATATTTAAGACAGTTTTATAATTTAAGCATTAATATTTTATTTTTCCAATAAACCAGAAAGTGGAATTTTGTTTTTATATTAACCATTTTGGCATGATATTTGTTATAATAGGTTTCACCCGTAATTTTCCTAATTAACCGTTTTTACCTATGAGGTCAAAAACTCAATGTGAATAATTTGAAAAAATGTATGATACGTTTTTTATAGTTTGATTGGAAAAGAATAAAATATAAGTAGTTAAACCGTAAAACTGTAAAACTACTCAAAGAACAACTTTTGCCCACAAACAGTAGTTTTTTTTTTGTAATTTACCCTAACAAAAACAATAAATATAGAGAAAATTACCTGTGAAATTGCCGGAAAAAATGGTGAAAACTGGCAATCTGGTCTCTGAGAATTTGTTATGAAGAACCTTGAAGGTAGCTTCAATGGTGGCTTTTCATGGTGGTTATGGAATTTCAATAAGGTTTGGAAAGTGGGGAGTGACATTAGGATGAAAGAAGAAGAAAATTTTGAGAAATGATGTGTTAATTTTATTTATGTATTTAAAATTTCATTTGAATTTATAGTACAAAATTTGGATCTGAGTTAAAAGCAGAAGATTTAGGTTTCTTGTTGTTGGTGGATGTTTTTAGACAGAGAATACTTGACATAATTGACCAAGTATGGTATAATTCCTTTTTGAGGTTTCTCTGCTTTCCCCCTGACCCCATCAAAAATGTACGATTGTAGACTCAAAATAGGACGAAGTATTAAACTATTAATGGATAAATAAAATGTTGTATTTAAATAAAATATTTTAATGTTTGATTAGATGGGCCAAATTCAAACAAAATGTTATGTATTTAACTTGTATTCATCAAAGAAGTGAAATGAGTAAAAAAAAATGTAGTTGAAAGAGAAACAAATCAATAGTGAGTTGCTTAAAGCATACAAAAGAATTTACTAATAAATAAGTAGTATTGAATATATAAATTATTTATATAGTCATGAAAATCATGTGTAAATACGTAAATAGCACGATTTATTGACCCATTTTAGAATGGATCATTGATACCACTTACCTTTAAAAGTATTTAAATCTACATGAATGACTATGTTTTACAGAAAATAGTCATGTTGCATAAAATGCTGCAATTTTTTTGAATAAGATAAAAAAGACGTTTATTAGAATTATATATTTTTTTAGAAATTACAAGAACATGTTGGAAATCCAATAAAAAAATTCCAAATTTTCAAGAAAACACTTGGTTTGTACTTGAAATCAAACAAAAAGTTAAATAAACTTGGATATAGTAGATACAATGTAAGAACATAAGAGGCGACATTTTTTGTTAAAAAATTCATATATTAGACATTTTAAAATAGTTATTTAGAAAATCAGTAAAAAAAAAGTTTTAAAAGATATTTTGTACAAAACAAAGCTGCAAGAATGGTCTATGTGGTTAGCTGAAAATTGAAAATTGTCACTTTAGTCCAAAAATGTTTGAACTAAAACCAGAGGTCAAAACTTTTCATTTTGTTGTGAGTTTGGTCTAATTTGCTTTGAACTTTTTTATAATGACGATTTTACCCTTATATTTTGTTTTTTTTAGTTTTTTTATTTATTTAAATACTTTTTAAATTAAAAGAAAAATAAAAAATAAAATTTTCCTCTCTCTCTCTCTCTCTCTCTCTCTCTCTCTCTCTCACACACACACACACACACACACGAGCCAAAATATCACCACCATCCCTATCTTCTTACCCAAGACACACACCCATCATCTTCCTCAAACACACACACACACTAGAAAAAAGGCAACCCCTTCCCTTTTTCTACTGCTCCATATTTATACCTCAAAACAAAGATCACAATCAATTTGTGTTCTCGGATCGGAAACAAAATCAGAGGATTTAGGGAAGAAGATATGGGCTCTCGGATGAACCAACCCTAATCCGATAAACAAAATCCTTTTGTGTGTTCTCTAAGATTCTCGTTGATGGAAGATTAATGGGTTATAGTTAACTTTCAGGTGGGTGTTTTGGTTCCTTCGTCTTTTCTTCTTGACCACCTTTTTATCCTCTTTCCTTGGATCTAGTTGTTGTTCGTTTTCATGGAGGGTATCCTCAATATCTGAATCTCGATGTTTTTACATCGGAAGGGGATATAAGTGCAAAATCGACTGTTGGCTCAAAATTGGTTCTGATTGACGTCTCTAATCATCATTCTGACCCTTTGCAACCCAAATCGGTTTCATTGCTTGTCAAAAAGCTTGATACGTAAGAGAAATTCCGAGAAAATCGATTTTCGAGTTTAAAGGGTAGTGCGACTTCGATAAATATGGTTCTAGTTCGTCGATTCCTGTCCCTTTAGCTATTGATGTTGTTATGGCTGAGCTTCCTGGCCCTTCTAGTAACATTATTAAGCTGGAGGATTGTTCTAATGTGGAATCTGGTACCCCTATGCTCGAATTTGAAAAGGATATTTGCCTAATTTTCAATCTCAGTGAGAAGGAAGCTATGATGATATTCTGGAACAATCTCACTATAAAGGATCGGCGGTACCGATCGGTGGTGTTGGTGGCGTTCATATCTCCGGCCGATGGTCGTGGTGGTGGTGTTGTTCTGTATGTGAAAACCAAGTTGAAGATATGAATTGTATATATGTAAGGTCCCATAAATAAGACCATAATTTTTTTTGTTTTTATATTAATAAACATCAAACCATATCATTATCATAAAACCAAAGTTATCGAAATGTATCAATACATCCTCAAAATCAAAGTAAATCACAAAGATGCGGAAACGAGTGGTGTGTGCTCTACAATCATCACGAGCTCTTCCCTTTGGAACTGGAAGTCCCTGAAACATAAACTGAAAACTATAAGCACAAAGCTTAGTGAGTTTCCCAAGATACCATATACCATACATAATAAACACAGAATGGGCCCCGCTCGATATACAGATCGGGTCCCGTACGACATACAAATAAACATATAACATATAAACACATACACATGCAATAACCACAAAGATATATAGCATACAAAATGCTCATCGGGCCCTGCCCGGTAAGTATAGGACTACATAACACATGCAAGAGTCACGTAGACATCATCCTAACATAACAAAATCATGGGCCGGCATTGGTGCCTTCCACCCGCTAAACCAGTGAGGAAACTCACCTCACACTGTTGAATCTTACAGAAAGGATATTTGGCTGTTGGCCCGCTAAAATCTCCGCGTTATCATATCCAATGACATCCAATTAATAATTGGATTCTAATCCATAACCATCAGTCCAAAAATTAGGGTAAAAAAACCATTTTACCCTGTACCTAGCTTGGACCAAGACTAAGGCCTAAACCTACAATCCAAAAGGCCCAAATGCAAATTAATCATCCAAGGCCTAATCATGGCCCATTTTTCAAAATTGGGCCTAATCTCTTTCATGGGCCTTTTCCAAGAACCCAAAACAAGCATCAAACCAATAACTTGATGGTCCAACAAGGCCCTAAGCATCTAAGTCCAAATATAGCCTAAACTGAAGCCAAAACGTCTGAAGCCCAATCCTGCTGAGTATGCGGGGCGTACCCAGCACGTACGCGCAGCGTACTCGCTTTAGGGCTTGTACGCCCAACGTACTCCTCCCATATGGCCAACTTCCATGTTCCAGCTCTTAATCGATTAAGACCTCCATCCAAACTCATATCTGACTTTCTTAAGATGGTTTATCATGTAAAGTTGCCAACTTTACATGCATGCATGGCTTAATGAGGCTCTAGAGCCCAAAAGAGCTTAATAAATGACTTAATACATGCATGAGACTATAAACACCATAAAGTTTTCACCTTTAAGCATAAGGAACCCTCCAAACATCCAGATCTACAAGATTTAGCTTCTAAAACGGCCTTAACCCATCAAGACCAACCAAAAAGGGACAAAGAAGCATAAAACCATAACATGAAGAGATCTAAGCAAGGAGAAGACAAGGTATGAACTTTATACCTTAAAAGACTTGCAAAATGAGTGATGATTCTGGATCTATAAGCTTCACACTAAGCAATGCACCTTCAACCTTCTTATATCCCTTCAAAATGAGCAAAATAAGCACCAACTTCTTCTCAAGATCTCAAAGACACAAAAATGGAGGCTAAGGGTCGAAATTTAGGGTTTAGGAGGTATGAAGGCTGGTAAAGAGGCCAGCCCCAGGGACTTAAGGAGTTTATATAGGGTGCAACACCCTAAAGTTAGGGTTTCATTAAACCCTCGTACGCCCATCGTAATCCTCGTACACCCAGCGTACGAGGCCTCGGTCCCACGATCAATCTACTTAATATGCTAAGCGTACCATGTGGTACGCCCCACGTACTAGCTTCTCAGCTAGTACGCTAAGCGTACCCAATGGTACACCCCACGTACTAACCCCAAGGACCAAATTGTAATAATAAAATACAAAGGTGCTAAAAAGGAACATACCTATATCCAAGTGTTACAATTCTTCCCCACTTGAATCAAACTTCGTCCTCAAAGTCCGTTGCCCTGAATAACTCTGGATAGTGCTGCTGGATTAGTGTCTAAGCCCTAACTATAATTGGTATGTACTTGACCCGATAGTAGCATGGTCCTTTTGGGTTGCCTTCACCACAACAATTTGATAGGATGGATTTTTTGAGAAACAGGTTATTTGTGATTTATTAATACATTATATGAATAATATATTAATTGAGAAATCATATTATTTAATTGGTATTGATCAAGAATTAATTTGGAATTAATTTAGTGATCAAAAGAGACTGATTAAATTTACGGGGTCTGATTAGGTAAATCAGTAATACTTATAGTTTGGGCTAATGATCCATGCTGATTAGGGATGGACTAAACCTATATGAAAGTCCATGAAGGTTTAGTCCAAAGGGCCTATGAAATGTGAAGAATCCATGATGAATTAGGGTTTACAAGTTAAAACCCTAGGAATTCTACACTATAAAAATAACCCCCCAAGCACCCTAAAATCGGCCAAGCTATTCCAAGGTGAAACCCTAGCCGATTTTTGGTGATTCCTAACCTCTCTCATAATCCTCCATTTGCTTTTGGTGTTTGTAAATTATTATAGGTATCACATTTGAGGTACTCAGCTCTTAAAAGGCCAAGATTCACAAGCTACAACAAGAGCTATTCATCTAACTTGTTTTATGTAAATCCTATATTTGTATGCTAGTTAGGGTTTATGCTTTGGATGAAATGAAAATGCATGTATAACTTGAGAAAGCTTAGATCCAAAGCATTTAGGGTTGTATGTGCATCATAGGATTGTTATAGTGCTCAAAACCCTTCAGTGGTATCAGAGACTAGGGTGTTTTCTGTTATATTGATGCAATTGTTTGAATTTCAAAGCTGAAAAAATGTCATTTTTAGCCACTAACTGTTGGACTCGTCGAGTCCCATAAGGGAACTCGACAAGTTGGATCATATGTGATGAACTCGTCGAGTCCATGCCATGAACTCGACGAGTAGGATCCTCTGTTGGCAGGATTTTTAGT